AGCACTAGGATGGAGTGCCTGGGGACTGCGAGTCTCTCTTATTGGAGTCTGTAAAAGCAGCCGAGACAAAGTCGGCAGTGATTTAGGGGCAGATGCTGATGGCTTCGGGCAGGTGCACGGACTGGATGTCTCTTAAAGCCCAAGCTCCTGGAGGCATGTGATTAGATGGAAATTTCAGCTTCTATTAAAGAAAGAGAAATGGTCCCTCACCCTCACAGTTGTAAGGAAGCACCTGCAAATCTGAGCTGGGTTTGGTGTCAGCAGAGGACTTGAAAGATTGCTCCAAGCTGAGGAAACCCACATTTTGGTATCAGGGTCCGCTGCCTGAACGTTGGAGGTAGAAGGTGAGGTTATCCTAAGAACAAAGGAGAGGGAAAAAAACTTTGGATATATCCAATGATCAGGGAGCAGAAGCTGCCCTCACATCTTCTCCTGGTGCTTCGTGATCTTTCCACACTCCTGCATGTGCCCCCGTGTTTTGATTTTCGGTCAGCATCCTTGGGAAGTCAGCACAGCCTTGGTCCAGCGGAAGCCTCGCTGTCCCCCATCACCTTTGTGGCACTTGTTTTGGTCAGTTCAATGGAGATTTAGAAGCAGGGAAGAGACCTCTGAGGTCATTTCAACTACTGCCCCTGCGGACAAGTGCGAGGCTGCTCACTTGGAAAGAGCTTTAGTTAAAATAATAATTAAGGCAGAGGATGGAATCGGGGGATGCAGACCTGTTAAGGATAGTGCTGTTCTTACCGTGTCCCTTTTCCATTTTAATTGCCTTGGGGGAAAAAAAAAAAAGTAGAATCGCAGGCCTTTAAAAGCTCTGATTCTTCCTGCTCCTCGCCACCCCCCTGCACCCACCCGGATCTTGGAGGCATCAACTCTCATCTGTCAAAGTGTAAATCAGCAATTAAAACACAAACAGCGAAATGCCAAAGATGACCCGAAGCACAAAGCAACTGACAAACAAGTCCGGACAAATCGGCGGATAATTTATAAGCATTGCCCTAAAATCTAATTATTTGGCAATTCGAATTTGCAGCCGGCCAGGGCTGTGCAATAAATTTAACCCGCCATAAATTATTTAGGAGCAGCCCGTGGTGTAAATCAAAACCACGAGTGTTTGTTTAAGAAATAAGCTTCTTGCGCATAAAACGACTTTTTGTTTTTCAAGAGGGGACCAGAAAGAAATGGCTGAAGGAAATGAGCTGTGCTAAGCCTGTGTCCCCTCCGTGGGACCCCCTCGTCTGTCCTGCCTGCACCTCTTTGGAGGTGTAGTGTGGTCTTTGGGAGGATGTTTTATGCTTTTCCCTACCGGAAAAAATCCTCTTCTCTCAAAGACATCTGCTTGTTTTTATTGCGTTTTGAATAGTAGGCTCTGATTTTTATGGGCATCTTTTATTCTCGTGTTTATTAAACTTCTTCACAGATGGGGGTGGGTATAAGGGATAAATTATTCCCTCATAGTTTTAGGATGGAATTGTCCATACAGTCTTACTCAAATAAATAAATCAGCGTCCCAGAGTATGTCCTGTCCTCAGCTGACGTGGGTTAGAGGGCTTTGAGGCCCAGGGAGATCAGCAGGGCACAGAGTGTGTGCGAGTCCTGCTGGATCAAAGCAGTGAGCAAAAGTTCTGCTGTGGGATGAGTGCAGCTTTCTTTGCAAAAGTTCTGCTGTGGGATGAGGGCAGCTTTCTTTGCTGAGGTCTCATTGCTTTAAGGAGACGCCAAGCAGGTGTAGTTGCCTGCTTGTGCAAAGCTTTAGTTGTCGAGAAAATTGAGAGAGCTGCATCTTTCCTTCTGTGCTGTGGTGCAGCAGGGATGGGAGCTGTATTTAAGGTGGCCGGGCAGGGAGAGGTTTTATGGCACTGATTCTGCATGGCCTCATGAATTTTTCAGATCCCTTTGAAAGGGAAGTCCAGCACTGCTGGTAGTGCCCTGCGGACGGCCCGGCCGCGCTGCTGGCACCCAGCACCTCTTCTCAGGGAATGTTTAAAGAAACAAGGCAAATCCGAGCCAGCTGTCACATAGATTTGTTTGAATTACCACGAAATCATAAAGGCAAGGTTGTTGTAAAGAGTGCGGGCTGGGTAATGGATCCGTGTAAGCCTGCGGCGCTGCAGGTTCTATTGTTGCAGAGTTTGGGGAGCAGCAGAGGGAGCAGAGGGTGCCCGTGTCTCTGTAAGCGCGTTAGTATTGATTTTGGAAGCGCTGTGTTCTAACAATATAAATGCAAATGCCCGTAATTGGGCGCCGCGCGCAGAATTTCCCCACACAAACCATATTCAACTTTTCACCGCGCGGGAAGGAAAATAAAAAGCTGCTTATTTATTGCCGGCGGTTTGAATCCCGGATTTCCTTTCAAGTTCCTTCGCAGTGGTAAATAAAAGCCCCTAATTGCGGCGCTCGCAGAATTCAAATGGGGGCATTTGTTCTGCTGGGAGCTCATGGCTGTGGGCCCCCCCGGCATTGCTGCAGCACAAGCAGGGTGCTGGGTGGTGGAAATGGTAATGCGTGAGGCAGACGGGGATGGTCAGAGTGATGGGAGGGAGAGGGGACGTCAGGGAGGCTCTGCCTTAGGTTCCCTGTGCTGCTCTCTGTTCCTTTTCTCACTTGGCCAAAGCACTGGGTGTAGGGATGGAGGTTACCGGGCTGCTGGGAGGTGTGTGTGTATGTGTTAGGGCTCACCATTTCATCATAATTACTAATGAAATCGTAGATCTGTAATAACATTTTGGATATCTAAAACAAACCATATGCTTGTTAAAAAAAAAAAAAAGAGAGGACGGGAGAAAAGTGGCAACAGATCAACTTGAAGCCATAAATTCTTGGTAATAGAGGCCTCCTTTTTCTTTCCCTTTCTGTTTATGTTTGATAGATATTTTTGTTTCTGCAGGAATGTCAACTCTTAATTTCATGATGTATCATGGGCTTAAGAAAATTGAATTTAATAAAGGCAAAAGATGAATGGCACCTTTAAAGGTCCCAACACTTGTCTTTATTAGCAGGACAAACTGCAGGGTCTCCGAACACTGCTTCTCTCCAAATGAAAGTTTAAATGAAAAGTACAGCAGTGTCACAGGTTAAATTTCATTGCAGGACTGGCTAACGTTGTTACTGAGGAGTGGGGCTGATTTCATGGGGCCGGGATCTGTTGCCTTAGATACCGACGGAGCAAACACTGCCAGAGCCTGGAAAAATCTCCACTATAGGAAGCGTGCAGATAAACAGCCTTTGGGGAGCAGTCCTTTACCACTTGCTTAAAAACGGACCGAATAAGCCCTGAAGAGCTGCTGCTCGTTCTCTCAAGCTGGAGTTGCTCTGCAGGTCCCACCCCGACTGCCTGGCTGTGTGCTTCCCCAGACCTGTGCTAATGCTGGATGTTGTTAAATTTTCCACGTTTTTAGTAGCATTTAGTTTTTATTTCCTCAGCCTATTTTAACATGACCCTCCTGGCAGTGCTTCCTGCTGTCAGTGCTGGAAGGCAGTGCCTTTGTGCATCCCACCACGCCATGGCTGTTAGGGACACTCTGTGGGTGCTCCATTGCCCCATTCAGCTGTGTCTTCATCTAGCCTCACTCTCTGCAGTTCAATGGGGGATGCCACATGGCTGCGGCCAGGCAGCGCTCAGCCCTTCTCTCTCTGCGTCTTCCTCCCTGTCCCTTCTCAGCAGTGGGATCCTTGGGTCCTCCCACCCTTTAGTGGGTAGCACAGCACAGGGAGAGATGCTCCCAAAGCTCCTCTGTGCGCACAGCTGCCCCTGTGAGGCTGTCTGACCGCCCGCTGCCTCCCTCTGTGCACTCAGCACTGCATACACTTGGTTCCATTCATTTCTCCAACCTGCAGGCACGTGCCCCCCAAGCACATCCTGCTTAGGGCCAGATACCTCTCCTCCTGGGGATACACTGGGTGTTTCCTCTATTTACATTATTTGCTGTTTCCATTTACCCACCCACTGCTGCATCATGATGTCATCAACTCACACGTATGACCTCACATTAATTTCCCTCTGCGGGTCACAGGGGTTGCAGTCAGGGTCCAAACTGGTGTTAGTTCCTCTGCAGTGACTGCACTTCTACATGCTAATTTTACTCACAGGATTTTTTTTATATATATATGTGTATACATATATATATATATGATTTTTTTTTTTTTTTGTATTATTTCTTATTTGTCTCTTCCAGATGTTTTCAGGCAGTTTTTTTTTTTCCGTTGTTGTTAAACTAATTCCATTCATGTTTTAAAAATTTATGAAAGCACTAATAAAAATGTCAAAGTGGTAAAAATGTTAGCTTTTGCTCTGCTTTGATTAAATTTTGCAAACTGTTTTTGAATATTAAAAAGCAATATTTTTTTTTATTCTCTCTCCCCCTCTCCGTTTCTCCCCAGAAGTGATTTGAGAGGCTCGGTGCGTGGATATCACTCAGCAGGCTCATTTGCACTCCAGAACCTCGGTGCCATGCATCTCTATTAAATAACATAGACAAATTATTCTTTAAAGACACCAAACAAATTGTCGCTTCTCCTCTTGCATTAAACTGGAAGGAAGAGAGGGAGTGAAGAAGGAGGGCTGCAAACACAAAGGATTTTATCGCTTTTATTCGGCGGTTGGCTTTTTTAATTTCATGTATATTTTTTAATAATTGTGAAATCCATCGTAACGGGATTTGTTTAAACTTTTTATTAACAGGTCCATGTAAATTTTTGATTGTTGATTATTCAAATAATTGAACATTCTTCTGATGAAGAACGGTTTTATTTCCCTATCAGCATAAGTTGTCTGCAAAGAGGAAAATGAAGCAGGGGATGCTGCTGCGCTGTGTTCTATGACGGTGGTTTGGGGGGGCTCCAGTCCCTCTCCTCCTACTGCAGTGTTCCTTGTGACTTTGATTTCACCTCTCCTGGGCTCCTGTACCCTAGCATGGAGCTTCATGTTGTGCTTGGCTAAATTTGGGGGTTCTGTTTATTTGGTTTACATGAACAGTTTCTCTCCTTCTCGCCCCGTTCAGGAGATCATCGAATTCCCTATCCTGAAGCTGAATGGAAGGACGATGGAAATTGAATCCACCTTTCACATGTATGTTCAGCCTGTGGTGCATCCCCAGCTTACGCCCTTCTGTACAGAGGTAAAGTGCAAAGGTTCTCCGGTTCTCTGAGTCCCAAGGGGAGCAGGTTTTCATTGCACCAGGGTTGGGGCCCCCTGCTCACAGTGTCCTGCCGCATGTTGAGGACAATTGAGGACAAGAAGGGGGATCTTCTTATGTCTTTGTAGCAGCGTGTAGAAGTCTCTCTTTGGGTTCGTGAGTTGTGATCATTCAGTTATGACCTGGTAGCTGACACTGGTTCTGTTTAAACTAATGAACGTATTCCTAGGTGACCACAAAACAAAAGCATTGCTGTTGTGTTGTGTAATCTACAAAACACTGGCAGCCTCCATGTAAACTCTTTGGGATCTTGCTGTTCTGAATGTTGATGGGAGAGGTCGCAGAGAGCATCAACACAGAAGTTTTTAAGTTCTTTTTGCTTTGGTTTTTTTTCCTGTTCCTCTACTGTTTTAATGTTATCCAGGTCAGCAACTAAAGCATTGACTGTGGGCTTAGGGTATCCAGGCTTTTTGTTCCCTCCTGTTGTCATCCAGCACCATTGGCACTGTGGTATTTTCTGCATTCTCTTTGACTGCATTCTCCTTTGACAAGCTTATCCTACATGTAGTGTCTGTTTCCAAGTGACTCCTGTCTGTTAAGTGGAGCTGTCTTTAGGACCAGCCAGCCATATTTGCATGTTGTTAAAACATATGCATACACACACTTCTTTTTTTCTTTCTCCTGTAGCTAAAAGCCAGCCAAAGGTATTTTATTTAAATTAAAAGAGGCAAAAAAATAAATAAAAACTAAGCTCAGAGAACATTATTCCCAGGAGAGGGGCTTTCAGAAGGCCCTGTTTTCACACATTTATAGCTAAATTGGAAGTGTTTTTGCAACTTTAACATAATAAGGCTGGACAACTACTTGGGCTGCCCCTATGCACAGGAGACTTGCTGGACGTGTGCTGAGGCAGATGTCTGCTGTGATAGATCTCACAGTTTGCACCTAAGAGCAATGTTCCCTTCTAGAGTAAGGCCTGGAAGGTAAGTGCTGTGTGTCATTGGATTTCTAGAGAAGTCGTCTCACTTATTTGCTCCTACTGACATTCCCTTTCCTAGCAATTCCTCTGTTGCAACTTTCCCCACCCCAATACATTTATCTCTTGCACTGCTTTTTGCAGAGGCCCTATAGAGACGCTTGGGGTTTGGGAGACATAAGCAGCCCCAGGAGCAGCCCCAGCTGTGATGTATATGCCATTCCAGCTCAGCCCCTGCCTGCACAGCTCCAGCGTTCACCATCAGCTTTGAGCTGGTTTTTGTTGCCTGAAAAATATCCATTTTGCTAAATGCCAGTAAAGGGCTTTGTCTAGGCACCTCTACTTACAAAGGGTGAGATTTATTGGCCTCTTTGTCTACAAAGAAAGACCAGGCCTGATTATCAGATTGTACACCAGAGACAAGTGTTTAGGTAATCAGCAAACTGTCTTAGAGTAGAAATACGATGGTTTCTCAGATAAACTCTGGTGCAAAAGCAGCAGTGTTGACACTGCACGGGAACCTGACTGCCCTGCTTCTGCTTTCCCTTTCCCTATCCATTGCTTTGCCAGAAGGTGATTGCACTGCTCAGTAAGGATGTGTGTGTGAGGCTCAGCAGGGCCACCCAACGTTATTCTTCTGGTCTGGAGCATCTCTCACACTCCTCTTGCTGAAGAAAGCAGCATGAAAACGGTGTCTGCAAGGACAAAGGGCTTGCAGTCACCTTCAGGGCATCTCTCTGCTTAGGTTTTGCGGTGGCTGAACTGAACCCCGGCTTCAGAAGGTTCCTCCAACCTCCCACACCACTGCTGGGAGCATGCCTTCCAAGCTGCTTTCTTCTGTTGCCCTGCTCTGATTCCATATTTCTTGGCTGGACACGAACTATAAGGCTTGGTTCTGGTGTCAGGCAGAGAAAGCAGGGAGAAAAAGCTCCTCCTGCCCTTTTGAAAGATACAGGTGGTTTGATGCCCAGGAAAGCTCATACCAGGAGCTGAAATGACAGGATCCCTCTACACATGAGGCGCTTGTTCAAGCTTTTTCATGGTACTTTGCTCTCTTTTTATGATTAATTTTTATTGATTTTTTTTTTTTTTTCCTGAAGGAACAGACAATAAAAGTACAGAAAGATAAATGCCTTATCTCTTGTTTATGTTCCCAAATACCATGTGCTTCTTGGAGTCGCCAGTGAAACTTTATAGTGGTGCAATTTGATGTTTTTATATTTTATCAGAAGCGTGAGATCAGATAATACTGCAGAAAGCCAATGCACCTGGGTGGGTGTTGCAGGTGATGTATGTAACCGAGACCAGAAAACATGGCAGAAGATGGGAGAGCAGAAAGCTGGTCCCCGTTGAGCAGTTCCTTTGGTGATGAATTGTACCCATCCTTCAGGCACTTCCTGCGGTCAGGCTGGCTCTGTCCTCCTGTGCCAGGCAGATGTGTGGGGAGAGGCAGCGAGGAGGGGAAGAAGCCAGCCAGCGTGCTTTAAAAACCACTTTGAAGAGCTGCATGTTAATCTCCTAAATCTATTTGCCTCTTAGAATATGGGGAGTCTGCAGGCAGCAGCTGTTATACAATTAAAATACAGATTAATATGAAAACAGTTTCTAGGATATGAGTGTCTGTGTCCTTACACTTCCTTAAAATTCCACCTTATAATGACTTGATGAACTTGAGAAACCCACCTAGAGGAGCTCTGCGTTCTTAAAATTAGAATACTTTCCCTAAAAGGTGTATATTACCGTTCCACGGAAGTCACGATGAGAAAATAATCTTTTCACTTGCAGCTTATTCAGCGAGTCAGGTATTTGGTATTCATTAAATGCAATTACAGTTTAATTGAAGTTTAATCTTTTTTTTTTTTTTTTTCTTGTTCCCCTTCTTCTGAGTTCAGTGCTGTAAGCCAAGCAGCCAATGGAAGAGAGAAGTAAAGCAGCAGAGCTGCTGCCAGCTGCCATGTTGTAGCAGAGCCTTGTGGTTTATGCTGAGACGTTCTGTGCAGGAGGCCATGCTGGTCTCCTGCAAAGTGCCAGATGAAGGGAAATACTGGAGTGTGCACTTGTTATAATAATGATTTTTTTAATTACTTGGGTGCATTGATGGCAAGCTACTGACCTCCAATATTCAATATGTTAAAAGACGGTTTTGTCAGTTGGAAGACAGACAGAAACATTATCTGCTTTCTGTGTGCCTCAAGCTATCCCAGGTGGGGGCCCATGAGACCACATCTCTCTGTGCATGTGCCTACCCTTCAGCAGTCAAGCCATCCTGCTGCAATGCTTTACTGCCCAGCATAGGGAATGAATGGATTCCGAGCAGCTCCCACTGAGTGATAGTGTGGTCTCATCCCAGTACCAGGGGCATGCCCAGAGCCCCCAGTAGAGCTCATCAGAACAGGAATAACTGGGAAAGGGCAGCTCTGGGACACCATGTCAGGCATGCAGTGGCACTGCTGCTCCAGCCCCATTGGGAGTTCACTGTTCTGTGGGGGGGTGGGCAGGAGCCCCGTACTTTCCTGTGTTTGGGATGGAGCTCTGCCCTTGCCCATGGCTCTGCTATGGCTGATCCCTCAACAGCACCCATGCAGGTCACAGGAGCATGTTTTGGTTGCAGGGAGATGGACAGCAGAGGAGACCTTTCTAATGATCTTTTGAGTGCTGCTCTGATGGCTGCTCTCTGTTTGTCTCTCATTTCAGCTGACTGGGATTATTCAAGGCATGGTGGATGGGCAGCCGAGCCTCCAGCAAGTGCTTGAGGTAAGCAGAGTAACCTTTATTTCCTGAACTCTGACCTCTGGTCCTGTCGTCTCCTCTTCATCTCCTTCCCTGCACCCTCCCCTTGCTGAGAATCGAACCGCGTAATTTGACTATGATTACAGCTTCATTAGAATAACATTTGCTGTCACGTCGGTGACACACTGCTGAGAGTATTGAACCATTGATCTGTCATTTCCAGCTGCTCATGTCAAGGGTACTGACAAGATATCCAAACTCTTGCCAGTAGATGGGAGAAGAGGCGATTCTTGCTTGAGCCAGTTTTAAAGGACCGAGGCGTTGCTTGAAACCACTGCTCTGGAAGCTCTGTCTTTTTTCCTTCCTCTTCCTCAGCATTTTATTAAATTAATTTTTTTTCTACCTATTTAAATGCTAAATAATACACGTAGCATTGAAGGAAAATGCCTCTAAAATCTAATCTGGAGGATTTGCAAATGCAGATATAGCCCTAATAATGCCATCTGCTTAATGTTGAATTCCTACAGCATTTAGAGCTTAATTAGCTTGGAAGTGTTTCTCCATCAATAGCTTTTGTTGGTAGTTAAATAATGAAGGAAACCTTCCCAAGCAGAGCCCTCTCAGGCTGCAGGTTGCTGCTCAATGCATTGTCTCTGTCAGGATTTCCACTGCTGTGTTACCTAATTGTTCCTAATCAGAATAATTGTAACAATTGCTTATGTGAAGAAATCAAATTAAAGGCTTTAAAATCCTCCATGGAGACAGCACTTCATGGGCACTCACATAAGAGTTCAGCAGGGTTGCAGCGGGAGCTTTGCTGCCAGATCCTGGAGGTGCAGGTGCTCATGGGGCCAGGAGTGTTCTGCTTTGGGGTGGTTGCTCCCAGGAGGGCTGTCCTAGTTGGAATGAATGTCATCTTAGGGGGTTTAGCCTAGGCTAATTCTGCCTGGTTGCTCCCTAAGGTGAGTGTGCATCCTCCAGATTATTGTGGCCCATTTGTGAAGTGGATCCAGAGCATATGTTCTTGTGGGACGTTTACTGGGAATATGGACTCACTTGAAACCCAAGCTGAATGAATTGTAAGGAACAAGGAGAGACCGAACCTGGGAGTGGAAGGTGGCATGCCTGCCTTTGGCTGTGACTGCTGCAGTGTTCAGATGTACCCAGTTCTTTGTCTCTCTCTCTCTCCCATATCCTGTGTGTGGAGTGGAGTGTGTGAGCAGTGCTGTGAGTGAGGGACACCATCCCAGGATGCTGGTGTTATCCTGGATATTCAAACAGGTAGTAAGAAGCTCCTGCTCAGATTTGTTTGGCTGCCTCATTCCCTTCAGCTTACAGCCTGATGCCTGGACGGCCATTGTGGAGCCTCCTGCTTTGGCTTCTCTTGCTCTCGCCCAGATCACAGTGGAGTGCTTCAAGAAATAAGTGAATTCTTCTTGGCTGAAGGGGGACAGGTTGAAGTCCCTACAAGCCCATTTGGTGCAGGGAGAGGAGAAGTGCAGGAATGCCAGGTAAAAGCGCAGCTGTATTGTCCCGTTAAGGCTGCACAACTTCCATCCCTCTGTGAGCAGAGCAGCTGTGGTGCCAGATAAGATCATCTCCGCTCTGGTTGCCTGATGTCTCCTATCAGAAATCTTCAAAGGTCCAAACGTGCTGTTGTTCAGATGGCAAGCAAAAAGAGAAGAGAGAGAGGGAGAGAGGTGGATAAGATCACAATTTTCTTCTCACTTGATTGCAAGCGGCTTATCTGAGTTTAACTGTTCTGGCTCGGCCTGTCTCTGCAAAACTCATCCCCTTTTCTTGCCTTCCTTTCAGAGGGTCGACGAATGGATGGCAAAGGAAGGACTCTTAGATCCCAGCGTCAAGTCGATTTTTGTGACCTGTGGAGACTGGGATTTGAAAGTGATGTGAGTATGGAAAGGGAGGGAGGTTTTTCTGGGCTTTATTGCTCCATGCCTGCCTGTAATGTGGATATCTTTGTCCTTACAAGCCTCCGACTGTCCCCAGTCTTTATTTTTCAGGGAAATCGTTGTTCGCCGTGCATAATTGGGAGTGGAGGGTTGTTTAAGAAGACAGGTAGGTGCTAGGCATAGTGCCAGATCATTGCCCAGGATAATCTCTATAGCAAATGAATCCTTTCATAACCCCGAGAAGGGTTTAAACTGGGGCTTTGTGATATTTCCTGTTTTTAGCCAACATGTTTTCCAAAGGGATGATCATCCCTAAGCATACAAATGAAATTCCATCTCTGAACACTCAAATCAAGCAGTAGTCTTTACCTGACTTTGGCATGCAGATCCTTTGTCCCTGTCATCTTGGCACGTTAACTGGATGTGAATTAAAGTAGTCTTTGGGAAAAGAATACAAGCCAGGTCTGACATGCTTCATTAGTCTTTTGTATCGCTGAGGTCATGTTCCTGAGTGGGGTGACTGGCATCTAGAGAGTTCCAGGTGGGGACCTGCGCTGAGGTCTAAAAGTGCTGGTGTATGTGCATGTTTTCCCATGTAAACAGCTAGACCAGCAACCCAGGAAAGTGATTTTGAAGAAGTGAATGAAATTAATCTAACCTGTAAGATATTTGCAGAGTATTATCATACTGCGCTGAATTCACCTGGATTGCTGTAAACTTGCTTCAGCTTTTCATTTCCTCAGAGTGCTGGGTTAAGGCTCCTGTTGTTATCACATCAGTAAAGCCTGGACTTGACACATACGAAGCTAAGCTGACATCCACAACTCGTTAGTAGTGTTACTTGGTGCTCACTGTGACGTTGGTTTCCACAAGCTGGAAGCCTAAATAAACTGCGCACAGCCAGGGAGCAATCAGCACCGGTTCCTTCCCTGCAGAGTGGTCTTTGTAGAGTGGCAGCTCCTTGCTTCCACATGGTATGATTAGTGAGGCATGAGATACGGGGATAGAAGCAGCAGCACAAGCGCTAGTACAGATGAGGAATTTGCCATGCTCTTTTGAGTCAGAAGTTGCTGGGACTCTGCTGGGGTCATGACCAGAACTTGAACATGAGTATATTGCCAATTCTTCTGTCACTGGTTTAATGTGTTTTTCTTTGTAAATTGTGCTTAAGCGTTTGTTAGAGTCCAACACAAAGACAGCTGCAGGGATGTGCTAAACATCTGTTTCCAATCTCTTTTCTTGGCGCTTTCCTTCTCTGTTGTTGTTTTGAGAGTCCAGTTTACTGCTTTTGGTGGTGGTTGTGAGGAACTAACTGTGGTTTGCTATGTCTCAAAGCCCATCTTTCCATCCCCTTCACACCAGGCTAACAAGGTTTCCAGATAATGGCATCATAACTCAGTGTCTGTATGAAATAGACAACCTTCTGCATTTTTCTCTTTCATCAGAGGCCGATAGTGGGGAAATATAGTGAAGATGAGCCCTGTTTCTGGTGAGCCATGGGGACTGTGGGGTGAGCTGAGCCAGCAGGACACGCAGCTCTGGAGCCCAGATACTTGATTCACCATTTGCAGCAGTCTTTTGCATGGACTGTGCCTCACTAGTCAGCTGGAAAAGAACACTCCACTCCTGGCCATGAGGCTGCAGTGAGTGGTTCATTTCTCCCTCTTCCTTTTAAAAAAATGTTTTAAACCATTAACTTCAGAATTCAATCCTGAAGCGTCTCCAGGGCAGAGCAGAAAGTACATTTCATGTTTCCAACCACAGATACGGGGAGCCCGGCTGCAGCCGTTCAGCGAGTAGCGCATCGCACTGCTCTGCCACTGATTGGGTGCAGCAGCGTGCAGCGTCACATCTGATTAGCTCCATGCCAGTGAATGAGGCTTGAGTGAGGACTCCCTGCCAGCTCTGACTTGTCTCATTTCCCATTACTTTTATCCGTCACCACAAATGCCGAGTCTCCCTCCTAAACTAATTAAGTTTGCGTGTGTGTAGACACATTGCCAAATAGGGTTTAGCAAAGCAGAACTGAGCATCTCTTTTTAAAGAGGGAAGGCACAGAGCTGAAACGAGGCTGCTTAGACAGGGAGATGCATTCTCAGAGAGGTGGAACATCTAGGAAATATTCCAGGGAATTACCTTGTGCTTCCCTAAAAGACTTGCAGTGGTGCTGATGCCCTGTTCTACCAAGTGGAGTCCACGCGCTTGGCGCTGAAGGTACTGGGACAGAGAGGGGAGGTGGTGCTGCTTGTCCAAGTTTGGAGGAACATGTTCCTGGAAGCATTGCATGGTGAAACTCCCACTGGATTCTAGATGAGTTCTGGAGCAAGCTGTGTTCCTCTTACCAGTTTCTTGTGTGGTTTGTAATTCCTTGTCCTTAGCTTGGCTGATGGTAGAAAACTGTGCAGCTTTGTTCCTGGCTTCTCCAGCAATGACTTGGGCATTGCTTGGCTTCAGTCCACATGTGCCGTTCTACACGTGCTGGGGAATGATGTCTTCTGGACAGGCCTGTCTGTTTGTGAGTGCTTCCAGCAGATGCCAGGGCACCGGGAAGCACACAGATGAGCAAATTGAATTTGGGGTGTTGGCTGGGTCACAGAGAAGGACCTACCAGCCTGTCACCATCCAGTGGTGGATGCGGGGACAAGGTGGGTAAATAACCTGTCAAAGCCAGGAGTTGCAGCATGCATAGTACTCAGCTGAGAGAAAAGTGCAAGAGGAACAGCCAAGGTGCAGAGCTCTTATGAGGGTGTCTAGCAGCATTCAAGATAGACGCTCAGCTGCTAAAGGACCCATGAAGCCTCTGCTTGTCTTAGGAGTCTTCAGAGAATGAGGTGCATTGTGGCTGCGCACTTGACTTTTCTCGAACATCTGAGCTTTCCTGGTAGATTACAGAGCTCTTTCTGCGTGGCTTCCCTCTGAGCACCAGTCACAAGGAGCCAGGAAACGGACATGCACCTGGGAAGGGCTCGTGGAGCACCAGTTGAGGTCCTCTGCCCTGCTACTCATAGCCTTGTCGTGGTCATGGAGCAAAACACAAAGGAAAGTCACTGCTGGAAGATTTGGCTGCTGCTGCTAGAGAGAGGGCTCCGAAACAGAGTGCTGCTGGCTGCCGGCTTTCAGCTCTGAGCCAGGCTGGAGTCGGGGAGACAGCAGCTCTCCTGCCGCCCCTCCCTTTCCCTCTTGTTAAGATGCAATTTCTTTAATGAGGAAAACCTCTTGAGTAGGAACATCACCTTTCTGAAGGCATGTCCTGACAAGGCAGTTCAAGCCGACAGAGTCGCATCTCAGCTTCAGCAAATATCAGTCACTCATTACAGAGACTTCTCCCCTCCACCCCCCAGCAGCACCCCTCATTCCCAGACAAGGGAATGAATCACACTCCTGCTCTTGAATACATCATGACAGTCGTGGGTCTAATGAGAGAAGGCCATTCATTCTGGGTGGAAAGTTCCCTGTGCCGACACAGAAATGTTATTAATTAAAGAGAGCTACCTGAAGCAAAAGATGAAAGGAGCACCAGACCTGCCAAGCTAAAATATGAGTTGGGATACAGCCTCGTTAGGCACACGGTCCTCGGGCACAGCAGGAGGATTCCTTCAGCCTGTTGCAAGGAGCTCTCCTCTGAGTTGAAAACTCCAGGGCCGGATTCAGACCCAGCTTTAGTGCCAGAGCCTCATCCTGCGCGCAGGTGGAGCTGCTGCTGGTGGTTAAACAAATCACATTGATGTGGCATTGAGTGGTGAAGGTAACGTACCCCTGAAGGGCCGAGGGAGCCGCTGTCTGCAGGAGATGATTTTAGTGGAAAAAGAGGGTACTCGGAGTCTGCCGAGGTTGAGCCCTTGTGTTGTAAGCTCTTTAGTGTGGTTTCTCTTTTCTGAAATGTCAGATTGCCTCCCTCTGTGTGTGGAACCATTTTGCCCGCTCTGTAAGCACAATGTGAATTAATCTTGGCAACCAAAGGAACGTTTTCACTGTGTGTTCCTGCTACAGAGCTGAGACGCAGCGCAGGTAGGTGATAGGCCTGTGGTCACACGTGCATCGTACATATAGGCAGAGGCAGGGAAAGGAGCTGAAGCCACATCTGGTGAACCTCAGAGCTGCACCTTAATGTCAGGAGCACATTAAACCTTCCAGGTTTGGATCATTCTGCAAATGCAGCAGAAGAGTAAAAACATGCGTAGGCTTGGCTCTGTGTACCTGCAGTATGAAGATGTTTGTACTGCATTTACTGTGGCTGATTACAGTGCGCTAATTTATTTCTTTACAGGAAGCTACTGCACAGTTGTATTTTATTTTCTTAAACAAGTGTTAAAATGCTGGTACTCTCTAATGCGGTGATATAACATTGTGAAGTATCTTGAAATGTTTATAGCCCTTGGTGCTCTTCCTAGGTTGCACATTAGTAAATTCTGAGCAATTAATTATACCACTGCTTAATTCAGTGTTACTCTTTTAGCCCTTGCTGTGCAAGTGGCGCTGACTGGGAGGACACTTGCCTTCTGATACCAGCTCAGAGCGTGTCAGTAGGTAGGTCTTTCTGTCCTTCTGTCCTTATGGCTTGGCTTGGGATCAGCATTAGGTCATGAAGAAGATGAAGAATCAATGGTGTTGGTGTCCTTTATGCGCGCTCTTCTTTATCACAGTAACAGAAGAGGGTCAGCAGTCTCTGCATGGGGCAGAAGTTGCAGGCAGCCCCTGAGTGCCTGGGGCTGCGTGGGTAGCTGTGGGGAGAGGCAGGAGAAGGCATAGGGTGAGCTGGTTAGGTGACGGCATTGCAGAAGCTATGTTTAGAGAGTGGCTTTGAGGGAAGAGCTGGTAACAGAAATGTAGTAATCTGCCTTTAAAAATAAGACAGTAATTCCAACTAAAATCTTTGGATTAGCTTTTTTGTTACCTTAATGCAGATTGTTTTGCTGACCAAGCCTGTGGTATATCCTTTCACGTGGTTACATTGGCTCAAGAAGAGGATGGTGAACTGCAGTGCAGGGATGGGACTG